GCCACTTTGTACCGGTTCCGGCGGACCTCGGTCCTCGCGCTCGGCCTCAGCGACATGTCGTATGCTTTGACTGCGTCTCACTGGGAACAACCCAAAAAACTGATCGTGGTCTGATTGGGACCAACCGGTCGTAGACGGAGAAGGAGAGCAGTTAAAAACCCTAAGAAATGGACTTTTCTGAGTATTCGAAAGAGAGATAGAGAGAGAGAGAGAGAGAGAGAGAGAGAGGGACTGAGAGAGAGGGTTTGTATATGCACACAATTGGGGATTTTGATTTTGATTTTCTTTTTTTTTTTCGCTGAAGTTTTTTGGGAGTTATTTTTTTTTAGTCGAAATTGGGAATTATAATAACCGTGGGTTACTGTTTATTATTAGGCGCTTTTTTTTAGCACGAAAGACTTTTTTTCGTCCAAAAAAAAAAAAGAAAGGTTCTTTTTACTTGTAATTATCTTTTGGCCTTTTATGAAAAAAAGAAAAGAAAATTATCATGAGATTTTGTTTATTTATTTTTATTTATATAAAAAAGGACAACATATTCCTCACTGGATCGAGTGTGGGTTAGATTTGGATATGAAAATTATTTAAAATTGAATTATAAATGTTAAAGATAAGGAAATATAGTAATTTCACGCATTATTATTATTATTATTGGAGTAGATTTGAAATTAGTGACATCAAACGGTACCATTTGTATTGGCATTATTACTGTGGATCATGTGATCCCATGCTTGGCCAGAGGCATCAAATTTATCCAAATGAACCAAATTTGATCCGATCACAATCAAACATGATTAAATATTAATTGGGTTTAAATCAGTCTCGTTGACAACACTGGCCATTAATTTATGTAATGTAATCAGGAACCATACAAAGGCAGTGCCGTGTAGTGTATTGATACCTTTTTTTTTTGGACAAAGTAGGAGAATTGAACTTGAGTGTAAAGGATGGAAACACGAGTTTGACCAACTGGCGTAACTCACGTTTGCTTGAGTTAGGAAATCTTAAATGAAGGTGGATTGATTATTAAGCTGCTGAAAAAGGAAGGCTTTTAAATGACAAATGGCTGGCAAAACTATATTATGATTTATATGTTCACATTTGTGTATATAATTTACATGCAAAAGATGGAACTTGTGCATTGAGTTGAGCTTTAGCTACAAGCACAAACAATCTTTTTGCTCTATAAATTCAAATGTTTGCTAAGAGCGGCTGGAGGCTGGTGATCAATGTTGTGAGTTTCTCTGAAAATGGGGTTTTCTCTAGGAATGGTTGAGATCTGAGGTGAGGTTGGTGGAGATGCATAGAGTATGGAGGCCTCAATGATTTCTCGCCGGACGGTTTCTTGGTGCAGGGAGATTCTTTGTGCCCGCAATGCAGTCAAGTATAACCCAGCAGCAAGCAACACAGTGGTCAAGGCAAACACTCCAGCTGCAGAGAACACACCTTCTCTGAGAACAAGGCAGCTGGGTCTTGGTCTTGACCATTTTCTCAAGTGCCCTGACTCCACACTTAGACCAATCAACAACAAGATCTCCCCAACAGCAAAGGAAACCCTAATCAACATAACCCAAATGAGTGTTTGTGAGTTTGAATTAATGTCACTTCAATTGATCTTTGATATGATCTAAAATCAATAGAGTAAATTGCAGTTACGGTCCCTGAACTATTACCCGATTTTCACTTGGAGTTCTATAGAATTCAAAAACTCCGGGACTAAAGTGAGAGCCGGGTAATGGTAATAGTTGAGAGACTATGGCTACAATTTGCTTGAATTCAAAATATGGAGGACTGACTAAAATTGATTGGCATACCATGTTGCAACAAAGAAGAAGGCAGCTTGCCATTTCAAACTCTTGGCAGGACCAGAATGATCAGGCTCCCAAATAACCAAGACTGATGGAGGGGAGTTGCTAATTGCAATCAACATGTATGCATGTTCCACCACCATGATGATTGCCAGCCCCAAAAATGCACTGGCTGCACATAACAGCGGCGATTTCCCACTGCCGCTGTATACACATTGGGATTTAGCTCCCTCATCCCCTTCATCACTGCTGATCTGCCATGTGACCTATGAAATCATCAAACCACAAAACTTAAATTAATTTCCTTTTGTTTTGGTAATATTAATGTTTCGTAAAGGAATTGTTGTGACAAAAACATGTTTCCTAGTACCTTAGAACGAGTGACTTCAGCAATTAGGCATAGAATGAAGCACAACAGACCACAGAGAATGGTCAAGACCGTGAGAAAAGCACCTGTTTTGCTACCAAAGCCGGTGCCGGGACGACTTGGTGCAAGGTCTGCGTGTGTGACTGCCATTCTCTTTGCCATTTTGGAGTAGAAAACGGCTAGAATTATTCATGCAGGTCAAGAAGAAGAGAAATAGGGACTTGAAAAAAGAGAGGGAGGAGGGGATTGCAGAATTGCTTGGAGCAAAGGTTGCTTAAAAGGCTCAAGATTCTTAAAAGACTTCGCTAGGAGGGCATTCTGCTCATTTGTTCATTCTTCAACTACTGATGTGGCAAAGCATTTTCAATTGTTCCACAATTAATCTTACGGCATTCATATCTAACGTCTAACAGTGCATAATCAGCCACATCATTTTAGTAACCAAAAGCTTGAAAAGCACAGAATGATCAAAAGTTGCCAAGTCAGTACTCGCTATATATATGTTGCATGCCTTAATTGCGCATATTCTTTTTCAGAAAAGAAAAAGAAAATGAGCTTTGTTTGGATCATCTTGTTCTTAGCCATACAATAATTTTGTTTCATTTCTTAAGACCCCAAAGAAACCTTTACAGTGCATGGTTTTTCACCAAAAGGAACAATATATGCAAAGCTGCTTTTGGATCTTCCCCACAGATTAAACACCGGCTAGCTAATCCTATAATTATGTCCTTAATTGCTTCCAGATAGACCTAACATGATTAGATGGACGGTCACTAATTATTCCTCATAAGCTTTGAAATTCTTTGGCTTTTAGCATTCAAATGTTGACAAAGAAAGGCATCAAAGGTCAGTGGGGTATGGTTGAGGTCTTCCACCTGCATTCATGTGGGCAGAGGTTCGAAACTCCTAAACACCCAATGAATATTTGTGTAAACCCCCTTCTCTCAATCGCTTACACTAAAAAAAGTTATAAAAAAAAGGCATCAAAGCTCATTTGTTGGCTGGGCCCTATGAAAAGGCCAAAAGTGCTACCAGTAAAGAACAAATCACTAGAGATGAATTATAGACCTGGGAAGAATATTGGATATTGGTTTGCATTATATTTGATGATCTGGTTTTATCATATATAATACTATTGTTAGTACTACTACTGGTGGTGGTTAAGAATCAAAATCACACATGCCTTTTTTCTTTTCTGTTATTGGTCAAGTTGGCCTTAGTTGAAAAAATAAAGCTTCTTTTTTTCTTTTTTACACCACCACAAAACAAAGGAAGCTCTCTTTAATTGCTCTCTTCATGATGCTGTGAGCTTTTCCATGCTCTTCACTCTTATGCTACATTAGTAGGCAATGACAAGGACAGGGGACTGCCTTGGTGCATCTTTGATTTCTTTTCTTAACATGGAAAACAGAAGAAAAAATATTTAAAATAGAAATATATTCCATGTGTAAGAATTTGATGAGGACATTTGTCACGCCCTAACTCGAGAATTTTCAGCTATTTCCCGGGTACGAATCACACCCTAACCTCAGAAGTAGTTTTTACCCGGGGATACATTTATTTCTTTCTTTTATTTGAATCTAGGTCAGATCTTTGCTCTGTGAGGGAACTTTGTCTTTTTCATTTCAGTATAACTGAATGTGGAAGGCACAAAAGTGCACGTACATTGAAATATTGACAAAACAAAAACGTTGAAAAAACAATGTACTGCTATTCCTTGCTACATCTACTACTATTTCCAAACCTTTACAAGTGCACTAGTGGATCCATTCAAAGCCTCACCTCCCACTATTGGACACTCAGACAGCAAGGCCCTGAGCAATGCCGTCGCTTTCTACTAATTTCAACTATATCTCTTGGCCTTCTTTCTTTAAGCTTTCCTAAAGTAACAGATTCATGAGAATTTCCTACTGTAAAGCGAATAATTCCATCAGCCTCTTCCACATCTTGTAGAATCAGTGATTCAGATGGACAATTATACGCAATGTCGATTGCATTATGTGTTGTCCTAGGAAGGTCTTTAACACGCGATAATGCCATTGCAATTTGCTCGCAAGCAGCATCAAGGCGATCCTCCGTTTCAACTGACTCCGTAACAAGTGTTGAAGCCAAGGACTCCAATAAGTGAATCTTCTCTGAATTGTCTTTCATAGTAGTAGCAGTCTCAAAGGTGTTAGTGGAAGATGAACTGACATCACACCAACGGGTAGGTAGATACTGGTCTGGAATATGAAAGCAATTATTAGTTGACAGGACACGAAGAACATGCCTACAAAGGATGCCGGAGAACTCGAACTGATAGCAGCTACAGCTAATGTGGCCTTGACAAGGAATCCAAACCACTTTGCACCCTCCATCTTCCTCAGTATGGTGTCTGACCTGGAAACAACCTTCATCTACCAGAAGAGATGCATACTGTGGAGCCAATACAAGTTCCTCTTGAAGTTTTCCGAAGGCATAAGGAGTAAGAACAGAAGCAGCATGTGATTCAATTGGTGAACCCATTTTAAGGCACACCCTCTGCATTTTCCTTTGCATCTTTTGCTTTGCCCCAACCCGATCATTATAATCAACAATATCAGCTACCTGCAAAAGGAAGTTTAACAGGGTAGACATGTTTATTTAACATAAGAACCAAAGGCTTCACAAGAAACAAAGACAAGGTTAAGTACTTTAGAAGCAAACCAAAGGCCAAAAAAGGAAAAATAACATAAAAGAAGAAGGTTACGCACTTGCTCAACAAAACGATCTAGTTGAGACTGTGCACTCAAAAAACGTTGGATAAAAGCATTAATTGATTCTGCCTGACTTGTACTCATCATTTCTGCAAAAAAGTAATGCCTCAAATATGCTAAAGCCCAAAAATTCCGCAGCGCATATAAGCTGATTACATGCTTATTTGTATGCAGTCCAAATTCATTCACCATTTCCCTCCATCTTTCTTCAAAGTCTTCCACGAAGTCCAGATTAAACAGCCGGTGAAACTCAGCTTTCCAATCATCATATCGAGATCCAAGAAGTACAGAAAACCAATCTGAGAACTTTGCGACGATGTGCCATATACAAAAGGC